TTTGTCATTTACTATTTCTCATTCTAGTTACTGAATTCACATTAAGTTTTAACATTTTGTAAAACTTTCTACATGCAAACAACTACAACAAAATCTATAATAATGGTAAAGTATACCTTTGCAGTATATTGAAAGATGTCAGCAATAATTTTCATGGATGGCTCTGGAGGAAAAATATAAGTATTTCTGACCATAAACTCCTTTAGTATATCATTTTGAATTGTACCAGTAAGTTTTTCTTTTGGTACGCCTTGCTCTTCTCCAGTTACTATAAAAGTTGCAAGAACTGGAATAACTGCTCCATTCATAGTCATGGAAACTGACATTTTTTCTAAAGGAATTCCATCAAAAAGAATTTTGGTATCTTCTACAGTGTCAATGGCAACTCCAGCCATTCCAACATCACCGCGAACTCGAGGATTGTCTGAATCATAACCACGATGCGTTGCCAGGTCAAAGGCAACAGACAGCCCTTGCTGACCAGCTAAGTATATAAAAAAGAAAAAGAAAAAAAAAAAAGTAATACTAGAGTTTAGCATTAAAGTTAACTCATTTACTTTAGCACTATGGAAAGCATCGATTGGTCTTATCATGGTATATTTCATAACTTTTCTATGCTCAGACATATAAAAGCCATTTAAATAAAGAACTTCAGTTTCTAAAAAGGTAGTTTCTTACACAAAAATACACAAACTGACTTTCAGACTATAACGTGAAAGAATAAAAGAAGCACAATATTTTATCTATCTCATGTCTGTCTGAGGATTTATTGCTTAAGTTAAGCATCAAATTATTTTTGGTTCTTTTTAAATTTTAATAGTTTTATGATTGAACTATTTCTAATATTCATGTAAGAGTTAGCTATTCATATATGCCTAATATAATTTAGCACTGTAACTTCACTTAGATTTTTGTTCTTTATCTAACAAGGCTAAATAGGCAGGATATCTTGGCTATGCAAATATTCTAGGTAACAATTATGAAAACCACCACACACACTTTTCCTCATGGTGCTATTTATTAAACTCAAGGCCTGTAGGCAAGCACACTCTCATTGAGCTACATTTCCAGTCCCCATTCAAAATTTTTAAATGTAGTCCATACTAAATTTTATTGCAGTCCTTCACGGGCAATACAAACTTAGAAATCCTCAAAGTTAGCATTCAAACAATATAAATTTTTTATAGATCAGAAAGAAGTGGTAAATACAATTTCCAGAGAATGCTATATTTTAAAGAATATATAAGTAACTCTTTATCAAATGTTTATTGCTTTCTTTGGAATCATAAAACTATCTTCTTCTCCAATTATTCTTTCAACAATGTCAATTGTGAGCTTCTCAAAGGCAAAGTCCATGTGTCTTCACACAACTTTGCTTCACCAAATTCTTTTTACATAATGTGCATAGAAGTTTGGTTTACTTCCATGAATTTTTCACTTTTTTCTGACATTTATTTTTTGACCATGAAAGGTGAAAACATCTTATTTTTCACAGTATCTTCTTCAACTACAAAATTAAAAAGTGAATATCATCCTTTCAGAAATCAACCAGCCTCACCTCAAAAAACTCAAGTTCAGGAGTTTTGGGTATGATCATGAATAGTATGTCTCACATTACAATCTCACCTTTAATATTGTCCTTATAGAATTTGTTGCTCTCTTCCACAGTACTAAAGCCTGCATACTGGCGGATGGTCCAGGGCCGGTAAGTATACATGGTAGGATATGGTCCACGTGAGAAAGGCTTTACTCCCGGAAGTTCATCAGGTAAGTTCTTAGTATCTGCCTTGGAATATAAGGGCTTTATAGAGATTCCTTCTGGAGTATGCCATATCAAATCTTCAGGGTTTTTTCCTTTCAGTTGCTTTTTGGCCAGGGCAGCCCATTCTGGGTGAAGAGGTTGTTGCTGGTATAGACACCGTTGCCATGGGAGCCTGGAGCCTGGTGATTGTTTTATCTGCTTCAGGTGAAGTGAAAATAGTAAAAGCTGATTCTTAGCCCTCAACATGGTAGAGCAGGGAGATACTCAAAAGGAATGAGACTCGATCTAGAAAAATAAACAGGCATTTTATGTTTTATGACAGGCATTATGAAGACTAGTGTAAATAAGACAAACAGGCATCGAAAGTCTCTGACTGGATCTCTGCCAACCTGTTAAATTCATCGTTGCCTTTTTCCTCTACACATTGGCTGTTCTAGAAATACCAGATTACCTAGTGTGCTGTGTATGCCAGAGACTGATGAACTTGCTCTTGCTTTTTCTTCTGCCTAGGATATTCTATTCTTTTTTAACTTTTGCCTAATTTACCTAAAGCATTATCTCCAATATGCAGGGTTTCTATATGTCAGGCACACAGACGTTCTAAAACAGCCAGGTGTGGTGGCACACACCTGTAATCCCAGCACTCTGGAAGCTGAGTCTGAATAATAGCTGAGAGTTTGAGGCCAGTTGGCCTAAACTATGAACTACACAGTGTGACTATCTGGAACAAACAAAACAAAACAAAACAAAACAAAATAAAGGCTTCAAGCAATTCACATAAGAATTTTACAGATTAGCAAGCTGAGACACAAAACTAAAGGACTAACTTCAAACTCCTTTCATTTGATATATTCAGTTTCTCCCTGTGCTTAGGAGCTCAGCTAAATGGCCTCTTAAGAAATCCGTGTTTCTGTTAGTTTATAAATTGCTCCAACAGGCAGGTTATATATTCTCCCAACATATTTGTGTGCTTAATGATTTATTTATGCTAAGTTTTACACTACTTGACTGAAATTAATTTCACCATTTTACAGATACAGGCAATTGAGGTTCAGTGGCTTGATAAAAATTCAACACAGGGAAAAAAAATTCCACATAGGAAAGTAGGAAACTGCTTGCCTGAATTACTAAACATTTGTTAGCATCATACAGCCTCAATATATGAAGTCAGTTGTTTTAAAATATTTTAGATGTAAATTTCATTAATGCCACTGTTTTTACAAAAGGCAAGTGAGCTTAAAATTCTATTTCCATATAATTTCTTATCTATCAATTTAGCGAAGCACTAAAATTTCAAAAGACTATTCAATGTTTATTATTGGGTCATAAAATAAATGTAAGCCACTTTCAGTATTAACTGTTTTGACTACTTGGGAAACTATATCATCAATATAAAAAAAATCTGAGAAATGTTTATGTTATTCTATTACAAATATCACTTGTGGGAAAGTAGACAAGTTTTATTTGTTTAAGAGGAAAAAAGAAATAATGTCAGAGTAAGTGAATTACAGTATATACAATGATAGAATTGCTAATAATGTCAGAGTGAGTTACAGTAGATACAATGGTAGAATTGTATGTCGTTATTAAAATATTTAGGAAACATGAAAAATTATATTTTTGATGTCAAAAGCCAAGATTGGTCACTTATGGTAATTAGTACAGAAAGGGAGAAATAAGAAACCTTTTAGAATGAATGCTAATTACATACATGTATTATGTTTGTGGAAATTCATCAAACTGCAATCACGATGTGTTATACAAACATATTAAAAATAAAATTCAAAACTGGGATAATTTGTAAATAAAAGGAGGCAGACTCAAATAACTCCCTTTATTTTTAAGGCTATTATTATTTTTATTCTATTAAATCCATGGGGTCTTTTTCATCCATCTTTTTGCAAGCTGTCCTTACATCTAATAGCTTAAAATGGGAGTGAGAAAATAATGAAGCATCTCTAAATTAAAAGTAAAAGAGGTACTTTGAAAACTGAGTCTTGTCATAGGAAAATTTTACATTAACTTTTTATCAAGTTTTCCTCAGTTTGGATAAATGATAGAAAGAGACCTGTGTAGCAAGTACTGCTTCCTAAAAATAAAAAGGCAAGTTAGTAAGGCTGGAAACAACATTTTAAAATAGAACCACAACGACTGTCGACGGCAATACAACCTATAAATTTTATAGAAGTTCTATTAAAAGAAGCAGCAAATACAAATCACTGATTATTAAAATTTAATAGCAATGGTGAAACCCATCCCACATGTCCAAAATATATCCGTAAAACATATTCTAAACCAAAAAATTTAAAGTTTGACCATTTACGAAGTTCCATTTAATAGGTCACGAAAAGCTAGCCATTACCCCATTACCAACGTTCAATTTGCATTGGAGATGGAAACATTGGATATGCAAATTAATATTAGCATAAATAATCATTAACGCAAAATGTGGGCACATGTAAGCAAGTGGTTTAAAACTTTATACGAATGTAATATCAACCGCTTCAAATTTCTGAAAGATAACTCCGTAAAGAAAAACTGAGAACAAGTAATTATATTTCAGTATAGGCCTGCCCTTCCTAGTGTCTCCCTCCTAACCCCACTCGCGTTTGACCAATTGTTTCTTGCAAGAACCTGACAAGAGCCGCAAGCTAGAGATGAGACAGTCGTGAGGCCAGTACACAGCTCTGGAATCGTGCAGGTGACCTCTCTATTACTGGGTGTTTGGGTGGCCAGAGAAGCTAGAGACACGGACTCTGAGGTGGTGGAAGCACCTGCTTTGCAGAGGTAGCTCCGACACCTTAAAGGACTAGAGCCGAAAATGAGAAGTCTCTAGAGGCGAGCTTATAAAAGGCAAAGGAGACTCCCATCGTGTCGTAGCAGGAAGATAAAGAAGAAAAGGAACAGAGGAGAGAAGGGGAGAGGTAAACCGAGAAATAAACCTGGCAAGAAAAGGGGAATCTGAAAGTCTGACTGCTTCAAAGTGCGTTACTCACTGGCCAACCTGTTTCAGACTCGGCCCAGTTTGGCAGCGGCTGGACTTTCCAGACTGCAGCCCCTCTAGTAAGAGGCACCCAGCAGAAAACACCAATAGGCAGAATCAGGGGGCGTAGGCCGGCCCTCCTCTGCCTCCAACCAATCAAATCGCACTCTCGAGGGCGCGTTTCTGATGACGCAGAGACGCGGCGCGATGCCCGTCGCTCACGCAAAGTGTTTCCTCTTTCTCGCTACTTACTTCCGGCCTGCCCAGGTTTTCTGTTGTTTGGGCTTGCACTTCTTGGGCAACTCCAGAGCGCGTTCGACAGAATTCGGACGGTGACTTGTTTAACCTGCTGAGTGTATCCAGGGTAGGAGATGAGTTTTGTGGCCACCGGGTTGATAGCAAAGTAGGTATTTTTCAAAGGGAAATGTGTGATATCGAAATAGGTCTGTTACTTGAGGCCGCAGAGTGAAGCCTTTAATTTTCTGGGCGGGAGGGAAGCAATTTTTTTTTTTTTTTTAACTTTCCTTTAATCCTCATTTCTGAAGCTCTCCCTCAGCCGGTAGTGGGGCATAGTGCAGCCTGAGAGATGAGTGTATGTTTCGCAAGAGATCGTGTTACACTTGTGACCACGTTGTAGGTCTAGGTTAAGTTAATTGATTTTCAGGAGTTTCAGCAAGCTGGTGAGGAAAAAAAGACAACGTGATTTTTTTAAAAGTAGCCTTCCCGCAAGCTACTGTTGGACCCTTTCCTCCATGATTTCTCACTGAATAATTTCCTTGCTCTAAACTCACCAGTTTCGTTCCAAGTCTTGTCATCGGCTTTTGCTAATTCGTCTTCCTTTTTTTCTCTTGCTAAATATTTCAAGATATAATTCAAATAGTAATATTTTTTCCGAATACTGTATGCTGCCACACGTATATGCAAAGCTATTTAAGATAGTCTCTCATTTGTCTTTTTACAGTATTTATCCATTGTAGACAGTAACTTTTTCTATCTGTCTACCCATTATTACTAGGCTATGATTTTCTCTGGATTTAGGAATAGGACGAAATTCGTATTCATTTATATATACTGTACATTTTAACTATCCTATTAAGGATAGAAATGATGGCTTCCGTTTACTGAGTTCTTGCCATGCCCCTAGTACTTGAAACTTAGTACATTGTATATTAAGTCTCTTTAGCCTTAGAAGCGCCAGTAATTTTAGGAGTGAAGGAATTGAGTTGATTTTCTTGCTCAAAGCTGTGTTGCTATCTAAGTGACAGAACCAGGATTTGGAGCCAGGACAATTTATCCTTATCCCTAGCTTGTACTTAAGCATTATGGTAGTTGTTCACAACCTGGGACAGTGTTGGTGTTGGGGACATCACAAAGCCTGGAAAAAACTTCGGTTGTCACTACTTGGAGGCAGATGGATTTTAGCATATGGTGGATAGATGCCAGGAATGCTGCTGAACACCCTAAAGTGCACAGGGCAGCCTCTTACACAAAAGAATTCATTCCATTGGATTGTTAATGATGGTGAGCTCGATTAACTTTGTGCTTTTGCCTCAAGTAGTTATCAGTGGAAACAGTGCATCATGAATCTGTGGCAAAAAACCCAACTTTTAAAAAAATTTGAAGTAAATCACAGTTAATGTTGTAAAATGCAATTTAAAATACATTATTAGAGCTAGAAATGGAGATAAACACCTGTTATCTCAACATTCTGGGAGCCTGAAGCAAAAGAATCATAAAGACACCCTGTCCCACTATATATATGCATATATATATATATTTTTTTTTTCAAACTCTAAACTCTACAGCATGAACAGTAAACCCTAATGCAAACAATGGATATGGATTGGGGGTTATATAATTTATCAATGCAGATCTGTAAGTTGTGACAATTATATTACTTTGGTGTGATAGAGGAGCTTGGTAGTGCTGTATAGATTATATAGGAACTCTTCTTTTTTACTGTAAACCTAAAAATTGAAATACCTTGAAATACCAAGTTTATTTTTTAAAAAGCACTAATTTTTTAAAAACTACTTTAAGAATATTAATTACTAGAAAAATAAGACCCAGAGGACAAGGGCAATTATTTTGTGGTTAGTCTGACATATATGACATTACTTGGTCAATTTGTTATATAAATATTTATTACTCTCAATATCTATGTTTAAAAGAATTTTGCCACATAATTTGAGAATCAGATTCGGAATAGGACTGGATCACATGTTAATGAATAAAGAATTTCAGGAGTCATGATTAATACAACCAAACTGTGTTACATGAGAGAGACCATAGCGCCCCCAGACTTAGGAAGTAGAGTGATTAGAAAGGATTTGGGAGGAACATAGCTCATTGTACATCTAGTCTCTATCCTATGTTCCATTCTTAACATGACATCTCCTTATTTGAAGTGGTAGGCAGAGACGGGAGAGAGCAACTCAGGTAGCCGGTACAATGTGTGTATGGGAGGCAGAATTAGTCTTAAGTGTGTTCAAGAAATCATATCTATCCAGACAGGGAGATTCATCTGAGGGGTAGTAAGACAGAAGTATGGAAAACTGAGGGCTGGATTGTTAAGGACTCTCAAGTGATCTGGTAGAGTCTGGAGGCTACATTATATGATAGTATTGAAGTGGATATTTTAGTCACTTATTGTGTTTCAAAAGTGGAATGTGGAAGGACTTGGGAAGCCTCTTTATTTCTTGCCCATGTTCTTTTTTATTTCCATATTCTTATTCTTGTGTCTTATTTCTTTTTCATACGATGTTTTTGGCTTAAGTTCATACACTAGACTGGCAAGTTGGTTCTGGCTGTCAGCTGAGAGCTCACCTGGGGCTTTTGCCTGGGGTTTTAATTCCTGTCTATGTTGGTCTTCCGAAGTGGTGGTGACTAGGTTACCAAAAGGAAGTGTTTTGAAGCCAGAAGTTCTGCCAGTATCTTCGTGTTTTGGCCGGTGAGTAGGAACAGAATCATTTCTACCATATTCTACTGCTTGGACAGTTGCAGAGTCTGCCAAGGGGTAAGACAAAGGGACACAATCCTACCTCATTTGCAGTTGGGTGTTGTGACCTGTTCCTATAATCCTCAGCATTCTAGAATGCTGAGGCAAAAAGGTGGATTGCAAGCTCCAGCTGGGTTCAATTTTCAATATCATGAAAAAAAGAATGGAATTTTCACTTTTTTTTGTACTAGGAATCAAACTCAGGACCTTGCACTTGCCAGGCAGGAGCTTATTCCACTGAGCTATAGCCCCAACCCAGTTTTTACCATTTTCATCTAAAATCTCAGCCTTCACTTTCCCAGTCACCTGCATATGCTTATTTAATAAACAACATGAACTGCTGTATGTGTCTGCTCTTCCAAAGGAGCTCTACAAAAGCAGTTCCCATATACCTGGATTTTTAAGTAGAAGATGTCAAGTTGAGGGGATCAGGCACTTTAGGAATGGAGTATAGGATAGAGATGGAATGTAGAGTAAGGTACCACACGGTTTAAGAACAGGATGCAGTGATGCTTTGACTTCCACTTTTTGTAACTGACATACTGTTATATAAATGAATTTTATGATTTTTCAACTAGTTTTTTAAAAATTAATTTATAAAACAATGAATTGAGATATTTAAGATAATAAACTTTGCTTAGAAAAGGAATGGTGACTAATTCATATATCTAGGTATGTATGCCTAGAAAACAGTATGCACATGTATATGCAAATGTACATACTTTTTATAGACTGTACCTAACCTGTTATATGTATATTCCTCATGGTGTAATGCAAGAATACATAACCCATTCCTTTTATTAGAAATGTGAGTTTGTTGATACAAGAGACTTTAAAGAGAAAGGAATTGTTCTAACTTTTGTCGTTGATATTCCCATTTCCTTGTCTGTCTTATAATTTCTAGGAGGACAGAGTAATTGATATACTTCAGTACTCTTTAAAATGAACATAGTACAGATTTGGCTATAGTTTAAATACAAGTGCAGACTATCACATTAATCACTTAAAAGTTGATACTTAGTGTTACTAGGATAATGTGTTTGTGTTTGTTTATGTACTGGCTGTCCTGACCATTGTTCAGGCAGATGTCATTTAACCAGTAGATTCTTGTATTGAGTAAATTGTCATTTTATATTTGGTGTTGTATTATCTTACAAAACATATGCCATATGTTTTGAAACATATGCCATATTTGGTAATCTTGTATATTACTCTTGAACTGAAATTGTAAAAACTATATTCCTATTTTATTGGATTTAAACATGGATATAACACAGAGTCTGCCAAAAAAACATACACAATTCAGCAGTTTGCCACACTAATAAATGTATGGAAATTAATGACTACCACTTTGAGCACCTCTTGTAGAGGTCAAAGGTAATTTGTGTTCATCTCATGAAATCTCAATAAATTTAATATTAAAATACAACATCTTTTTATTTTCCTAATGTATACATTTTTTTGTCCAACTCTATTATTGTATGGAACAGTATAACACAAGAGATTAAAAACATTTTTAAGTGACTTTTTAAAAAGCCATACAACTGGAAGTAGCTTTAAGTAGATTCACTCATCTTCAAATTCATTAGAGGAATGACAATTGAATTAGTTATAATGATGACAGTTATTTGTTTTAAAATATACTAAAATCTTTTAAAAAACTTACACTATCCCCAAACTCTTCTTTATTACAATTTTTTAAAAGAGGATTTGGAACAATTATAGGACCTCTATTTTAACAAAACATTATGATAGGCTTTACCATTTTCTGTGTCCTTTTCATCTTTGTAGTTTTTTTTTTTTTAAGCATCCTAAATGTACTGCCATATTTAGCTCAAGATGCCTGGTAGAACAAATTCTCCCAAGAGAAAGTCTCTATGGTTAAAAAGAAATTCAAAAAGAAAAATTGATGATGAGGAAGAGGTTTGTCAGAGAAAGGGGTAGGAAATACTAAATCTATCACTTAGAACTTTTTGTTAAAAATATCCTATAGAAGTATGTAAATACTAATGTTCAATTTTACTACAAATCATAGATATTCATATCATAGTCTTAGAGCTTTTGTAGCACAATTTATGAAGTTCTCAGACACAAAGTGTTGTTTACTTCAATTTCTAAAGATACATATTTTGACCATGAAATTATTAGGGAAAAAGGAGGTCAGAGGGTATTACTAAAGTGTTAAATAGAAAGATTAAGGATAAAGTATACAAATTTCTAGCATATTTATCTGTTAAAAGAGAACAGAATTTGTCAGTTGTTGGAGATTTCTGTTAACGTAGAGAAAAAGTAGTTTAGAAGGAGTTAACCTCTACCTTAATTTTGTCCTTGCCTTGTAAAAGAATAAATATATTAATTAAAATTTTTCCTCTCATTAGGCAATGTTATATTTATTTTACAAGTAAAGTATATAATATTTTATAGGCAAAGCGATTAGTACTTTATTTAAAACATTTTTGACACTACGTGAAATTGTTATCACCATCATTCAAGAATCAGTTTAGTACATTCCTTTCTGTTATAAATGTGCACCATTCTTGAGATAGGATCTCACTGTGAATTTCGGGCTAGCCTTGAGTTCGCTGTGTAACCCAGGCTGACCTCAGACTCCCAGTGACCCTCCTGCCAGAGATGGTGGTGCACACCTGCAGTGTCAGGGCTTAGAAGGCTGAGGCAGGAGGAGTCAAAATAAACTTTAACTTCCAGTTTTTCTGTATGTTGTCTTGGTGACAGAAAAGTGATTAATAGGAAAGGTCTTAAATAACATAATCAGAGGTTTGCATCCAGCCTGAACAACTTAGTGACTTAGCAAAGGCCTTCTCAAAATAAAAAATGAAACAGTGGTTGGGGCTATAGTTTAATGAGAGAGAGAGAGAGAGAGAGAGGAATGGTCTTTGATGAAACAGCTCTGAGTTCAAATTCAAGTTCTTTTTATTATGTTGTTTGTGCCAAGCTGCTTAACCTATGACTCACTGTTTATTCGTTTTTCCATTAGAAAGGCATTTTTCAAACATTTGGTTCTATTCAAAATATGAGGGTTACAAAGAAGTTAAGAAATCCAGTTTCTCAATTTAAGTAGAATGTTTGACATTATTAAATTGTAAAATACATAGAATGTCATCTTTATTGTCAAAATATAGTTATTTTCCCTAGGAAGTTTGTAGGGATTTATGCTTGCTATGGACTGAATTGCATCCCCCCTCCCTCAGAATAATTTACCAAATTAGATATTATCTCTTTATAGCTGAATAAAGGTACATATTCAGCATTTTATTTAAGTAGCGGAGATGGCAGCTTGACTGTCCTTTTTTGGCTTTATCTCACATGTCTAATCAAACTATAGAACTTTTGAATTGAGAAGAGACCAGTCTTGAGAGATATAAAACTGAAGTCTGGAAACAAGCAAACGCAGTAAAGAAAACGTTTCTTTATTTTGGAGGAGCGAGTGGAGAGAGTTAGAAGATCCCCAGAGGGTAAGGATCTGCAAGTTACTAATCTGCAGAGATTTGTGAATTCCCATGAGATGGTAATATACCTTCTTAGTGTTCTGGAGGGGCAGTGCTCTTCCTGGGCTGCAAAAGGGCTCAGCAGAAATAGCGAGTGTCTTTTGGCCATGTTTCTAGATCAAGCTTTATCCACTGAAAAGACTGGGTAATGGAGAGATTTTCTCTGGGTGGTAGGAGGCAGGGGCTTATCTCTGACTCACTCAACAAGTGATTTCCATGCCTCTCTACATTTTCAACACTGTTGCCACCTAGATATTTCAACAGCAGGAATTAACTGCCAGTGAAAGACAAAAGACCTTATGGGCTCTCAGTGCCATAGAGAAAAGGATCAAGAGATTACTCAAATGTATGTCTTATACAAAAGTGATTTCTAACAAATAGGAGCTAATGGACCCCCCTCATGCCATTTTCAGTTGCTCCCACAGCAGAGCTTTCTTATAAAGTGAATAGCTTAAGGCCTGTGACCACAAGTGCTGGCGAAACCTAAAGATAGCTCAGTTTTCACAAAACTTCTAAAATGCAATTCATCATTATGGGCCAGTCTTTCAAATTTAGACAGGAACAAAGAATGTTTCTTAAAATGAGCATGTAAGTAGAGCTTGAACTTTTAATCGGCTCATTCAATACCACAATATTATTTGACATTTTAAAATTTGAGGAATGGGCAGATAAGGTATAAACAGTGGTATTTGTAACTTCCCTTCCAAGAACAAAATGATAAAAATGATCAAGGAAATTTCAACCTAGCATATACACAGGTGGACACACATTAAATTTTGTTGTATCTACAGAAATAGACTATACCTTGCAAATGAACAAGTGAAAATTAAGGAATGAATGAATGAACCAAATGAAATGAAGATGGGAAATATAACTGCAGAGTTATCATGTGAAAACTCTTTTTCATGTGAATGACAAGGGTGCTAGAAGAAAAATAAATAGTTTTAAAGGTGAAATGTTACCAAATACTAAAAGGGAATTTATCTGAGCAGAATATTCAAATCTTCAATTAAAATGACTCACTTACATTCCAGGTAGATAGACAGAGGGGCAACACACTATGAACCAAAGAATGCTAGATTAGAAGTTTTTAAATATTACCTTACTGTTTATGAAAATTGCATTGCTTGAAGCAGGTTAATAATGTTCACAAGCCAGAGACTGATAGATGTCATAACAGAGTTCCTGAACAAATCAAAATGATAAGCTTCCTTCTGTAGCTGTATATTTAAGATCCTTTAGAATTTGCCTTAAAATCAGCACAAGCAGTAGTGGGGGTCTTGGACAAACTTAACAATGAAGGTGAGTATGATGATCAGCAAGCAAGGGACCAGTGGTTTTAGTTTATCCATGAACATCCTTTGAAAAGTCTGTTTGAAAGATGTCCTAGCGAAGGAAGCTACCTACATGTGTAGCAAAATAGTTAGGATCTACAAGTAAAGTATAATATTACAATGAATTTTTATGATTTTTAAGTTCACAGATTCACAAACTGGGCTGTGAATAACATTATATTAATTGTGATGGGGGTCGTTTTCTCATATACAAACATTCTGGCATGATTTCAGACTTCAACAATAGCAGAAAAATCTGGAAAGCTTCCACACAAAAAAATAAAATTATATGATATTCCAAAAAACTGTGATTGTATCAGTTACTTTTTCTAAAACTCAGTTCTTTAAGTTATCCTATAATATTAGTTTCTTGCTTTTTTATAACAAATACATAAGTTTAAACACAATTGAATTAGATATGGGTTAAATATGAGCAGTGTGTTTATACATGCTACTAAAATGCTACCAACCCCCTCCCCAATAAAACAGTTAAAGACTAGTGCTTTATTTTACAATAATATTTTATTTGAAATTTTATATAAAATAGACTTTGGTAAGATAGGAATTGAGCTCTTATTGCAAATATGTAACATGCAAAAGGAATTAAAAATCAATATTTAATCAAAGATGTAGTATTGCTGAAATGACCATCTTCAAAGTGAAAATATCACTACCCCCAAAAGTAATATTCTTGCTTTTCATTTTTCTCATACATATTTTTACATATTGCACTTACATAATCTTAGAGAATAAAGATGTGGAATCTACATTAAGAAATTGACATGACTATTTCTGTGTTACTATACTTCTCAGAAAAATTAAAAAATATACAGGAAGTACTCTGTACCTGCCCAGTGGCAAAGGAGTTTATAAGTACAATTCATTTGACCATTTGTTTTATCAGCCACATCCCTTCAATAAAATCATCATTTGAATATCATGAGGTGGTACCAAACATCAGGACATTTTTACACTGGCCATTTGGGACTCAGCATCTATTCACTCTGGTCCGTGATCTTGTTGATGTTGCTTTTTAAACTTAAACTTGACTCTAGGCAATTGGAAAGGAAACTGGAACACAAGACAATTATTGTATTTGAGGTTCAAGCTGCTTTTGGTCCTCATATTCATGGATATTGATTTCATATTCTCTCAACCTAGGGACCTTTAAAGAAAAAAGATTGAGACACTTAATAGTTTTATTTCTCTGGACCTATCTTAAATTAGTATCGAAACATGTGTTTTCCATAATTATTATCCAAACTTAGAACCAGGAATAAAAATCGTTTGAGTCATGGGCAGGAAAAAGAATAGCAATATTTATCTATTTTAGGTAAATATCTAATATTTACCTTGATGACATTCTCTTTCCCAAACCTTTTCTCTCTAAAAATATCCAAGCATTTCCCTGTCGTAAGCCTTGCAGTAAATACTTGAGGAAAAAATATCAATGGAGTAATGTCAGTGGAGAAGAGAAAGAAATTGACATTGTTTTATTTATGGGCTATTTCAGTGAGTATTTACTCAGACTTCAACCTTAAAATTCCATTCACTTTTGTCCACTTTCATATTTGGTATAATATCTCACACTGTTGTCCAATACCCCTGTCATTTTTTATTAATAGCTTTATATTAGTGAGAGGAGTGAAAAGACATTTGTCAACTAATTTATGTTTTCTGCTTTGGAAGCTATTATAATTTTATCTGGCTGGACACATCTATCTGTCATTAGAGTTCATCTGGCTGTATCAAGCATATGCCCTACACGCGTGAGGTGAGCAGATTTCTACTAGTAGAATTACAATTTACATGTTAGTTTAGAATACTGTACAATACCTCCCAGTAAACGGAATCATCGTAGCAGTACTTGTCATGGGGCTGTTCCCAAAAAGGTATCTTTAGAATTAAACCTGTGAAATTAAACAGAAAATAAATCACATTATGATGCTGCAGAGGAAACTATACTTCCATAGTAATTAAAATAGTGATATAAAGTCATGCCCCTGGGCTAACATACTTACCTTACTTCTAGAGGTTTAGAACAGTTTTAAATTTGCCAGTTGACTTGCTTGTTAATCACCTATTATGCTGAGAGCATGGGGAATGGGGATACATTAAATGTTTCTGCTGACCTGTAACCAGACCTCCAACAACTGCTGTTCCAATGGACGAGCCCAGTGCTGCTGCCTGCATGGCCATGGTGGGCCTAAGAAGCCAAACAAAAACAATTACATTTTTCCTGGAAACCAGCAAGGAGTGTTACCCACTGAACTCCCTATGGTGTCTGCCATCTTCAGGACAAAGTGCAGCATTGTACATTAGCAGATGTATAGATGGTTAGTTTTTGTTTGTTTGTTTGTTTGTTTTTTCATCTCATAAGTTCCCTTGAAACTCCTGAAGAGTTTAGACAATTCTTAGGTACATTTAAACAAGAATGATATTCTGATTTATCTTCAGGAATAGTAAGAATGCCTTCATTAAAAAAAGTTTAGCACTCCAAAAATGATCTCTAATTTCACTGATTAAGTAGATATTGAGTACCAGCTATGTCAGCTTTTAAACAGGATGAAGTATAGTATAAAGCAATAGTCACTACCATCTCTGCGCAATCCTCTGAAGAAACGATTACAATGAAAGAAAAAGTTCTCATCAAGCTCAGAAACGCAGATTTTAGTAGTTACAGCAGAATCACTGAAGATACTTGAGTACATGTCATTTAAAAGTACCTAAAAACTTTTAATAGAAAAGAATAGAAAAATGTGATATAAATCTGTTGAAATCCCGAAGACAATGCATGAGGAATGTGCATATCTCATTGCCCCTTGTATCAGGTGATACCTAGCTGTGCAAACACTGAGTGATTCCAGGGAAGCAAACAATTAAAAAGTGAGCGCTCCAGTGAGCACCTGCTTGGCAGGCATGAGGTCATGAGTTCGAGCCCTGGTACCAAAAAAAAAAAAAAAAAAAAAAAGGGAGAGCTCATTGGTGTTTCAGTGTCATAATCCAAGGAATCAAGTCTCATCAAAATAAAAATGTAAGATCAAAATACGTATATTTAAGAAAGTGTAATCATGTTATAGTAGTGATTTTTCATTATGTCTTAAGTATTCTTTCATGTCAGTAAATAAAGATCAGGACTGTAAGTAGAATTACCACAGAATGATACACCACACAGATGTACTGTCATTATCATTTTACAGGTTCCTATTTAGGTTGTTCTTAGTGTTTACTTTTTAAAAAAATTCTGTAAGGACATGTTGTATATGCTTTTAAACTTGTTAATATCTTCCAAAAGCCTATTTATATATATGATCAATGGATCGTTTTATGTACTTTACAAGTACATAAAACTAGTACATAAAACATAGTAGTTTTCCTAACAAGAAATTGTACAATTCATGTCACTATCTCTGACTAATGTTCAATATTATTCATTTATTCTTTATAAATTTGATATGTAACGCTCCAATTTGCATTTCTTTGATCACTTGCTGTTATTTAACGTTATTATATTTTCTTTTCTAAACTTATTTTTATAGAAAAACTTTGAGATCTTTTACAAATATTAAAAGGTACTTTTAATGAAAATTGTTCTGTTATCAAAAAGGTTTGGCAAACTCTTAAAATTAATACCATTTTTATGTAAAGGAGGGTTTCAGTAATAGCCCTCTGCTCTCCCCCTTTCCTTTCTTTACTGAAACCCTCAAAAATAAATCAAGAAGATGTTGGTAAACCTGCATGTCCAAATCCAGGCACAGTAAGGCTCTGCTTTCAAGAGACGGACTTGTTTCACTGCTTTAGTATTACTAACCTAGGAATGATATTCAAGAATTCCTAACCAGGAGGCATCTGTTAGGGTGTTTGTATGGTAATCCTACTCTACTACTTAGGAACTGAGCTCATAGATTTATGCTTTATCATGTATGATTCGCATTAAAATATTTAGTGTTTGGGCCCCAGAGGTTTATCTCAGTGGCACAAGTGCCTGCCTGGCAAGTGTGAGGTTATGAGTTTGATCCCCGATACAAAAAACAAACAAACAAACAAACAAACAAAAAAACAAGTCTAACATAAAATATTTAGTGTTTGAACTCAGTCATCTGTTAGATCTTGAAGAGAGTTTTATAAAGTGGTTATTTCTGAGGTTGTCTTCAAAGCTTGCAACAGGTGTTTAAAAATAGGAAAACAGATAAATGGGTGAGCTATACACCTGATTAAGGAAGCAGAATTTCTGTTCAAACTCATACAATTAAATGTGTGTTTTTAAAAAACATATTAGTACTGCATGAAAATTTTAATCTATTAAAAAGTTCTTTTTTTAAACCATCCAACTTTAGTCCATTGTATGAAGCTCTGTGCAAATGTCACTGATATTTTTCCAGGCACACATTTACTTTTTTTCTTTGTATTTTAGTTGGCTTTAAAAATTTAGCATTCTGGTTCTTTTTTACTCTGTATTTTTATAAAACTGTAATTTTCTCAGATTTTTATAAATTTTTTTTATAAATCTGTAATTTTCTCAGATGCTTTGCATATTTGATGTGCATACCAAATTGTTCCAATTTTGTTGTCTTAAATTAACAACCGAGGCCGGGAATGTTGGCACACGCCTTAATCTTAGCACCATGGAGGCTGAGGCAGGAGGATTGTCATGAGTTTGAGGCCAGTCTGGGCTACATAATGAGTTCATGCCAGCTACACCACATAGCAAAACCCCGTCTCAAAAACAAATATGTAAAATAATAATTGATAGCTATGACATCACTTTCATTCTTTTGGGTTTGATTTCACAGGTTTTTCTCTGGCTATGTATTAGACACATGTACCCTCTTTGAGAAAAATCTAGCAGCTAGAAGGGAAAATAGATCCTTCAGTCTCATTTTACAGAAGAAGAAACTAACTGAGAAGCAGAGAGCTTGAGTGACATGCCAGAAGTCACACAACTAATGAATACCATCAGGACAGATCTTCCTGACTCCCTAGATCCAACTGCTTTCCACTTTTAGGCTACCTCTTCTTCACATGGACTGTGCAGAAATTTCTGTTCAACTCTTTGCTTATGTCCCCTTGCCATTTTGGTAGGACCAAGCCAAATTGCAAACCCACTGCAGTCTGATTGTGGTTATTGAACTGCACTGGCAAGAGACAGTAGACTGTGGAAGAGAGATTTAAAGTAACAGTTAATTTAAAACAAACAACAACATAGGAATGTTAGTTAAGTCACATGACCCAATACTGGTTTTTCTCTCAGTTGTGTTTCTTTGTTACCAGTAAAGGTGATACTTAAACTTTGGCCTGGGATGATAAAACCAAACCAAAACAAAACAAAACAAAACAAAACAAACTGCTGTCCCATCACTGCATAGCTCAGAGAATGAGAAAAAAAGCACAGGATCGGGGAAGAGGAAATCCCTTGTTTTACTCACGTGGTGGACACTCCCCCAGCTATGGCCGCAATGCTTGCGAGACCTCCTATCACACCAGGGAGGCCGTGCAGGTTGTGCACCCCACATGTATCGTGTATCCTCAGTGTAGTGGCAAAAAATGGCTGAGATCATAAAAAGAGAAAAGGCTATTATTTTGTTAGATATAAACGACTCTATAACTGAAATAAGTGTGCCAAAAGTATTTTTTATTGTTTGTATTTAAAATGTATAACATGATGTTATACAATACATATAGATAGTAAAAAAAAAAGCTACTGTAGTAAAGAAAACATTCCATCACCTTCATATTTTCCTTTTTTGTTTTTGTGGCATGAGCAGCTAAAATGTACTTATTTAGCATGAACTTTATATACAATTTTAAACATATCTGCTACATTGTATCATCTGACCTACATCTCCCCATTTCCTTTTCTACTCAATAAATTTTGTCTGTAGCTCAGTTTTCCATCAATACTGAAATTCACTTAAGTCAAATGACTTAAATGCATTGATGACAAAACTGCCATTTCAGTCACTAAATAGCTGAGTCTCAAGAAATTGATTTTGGGTTCTACTCCTTACCTGGTGACATCCCAGAATCCTTAGTTATACAAAGCAGACAAAATGAAAAAATACTCTGCAAATTCCCTGGAGCAAAACAGCACAAATATGTGACACAGAATTTGAAGTCAGTTATAACTGATATCAGAGTGACTCCTGCCTCACAGAAATCAAGAAAGTATTGACCCATAAGAGCACTGAAATGTGAGTGGCTTGTTTCAGAGGAAGGCTAAAGACCTCTAAACAAAGAAAAAAGGCCACATCCTATTTTTTGTTTTGGACATATGAAAGATGATGGTGCAGATTGAAAGTTCTACTCTGAGCGTCTGTCATACTTACAGTCAAGAATTTGTATCCAAGTACAGAGATAAGTCCAGCAATGCTCCCAATGATCATAGCAACATACGGCTGGATGTCCATGTTCGCACAAGTGCCCACAGCAACTCCCCCAGCGAGGGTGGCATTCTGGATGTGAACCTGAGTGGAGGAACAATCACAAGCGAGGTGTGCTGCATTGGGCAGAGTTCATTGCCTGGCAGTGTTCAGCTGTAAGAGCTACTGATACAAGCAAAACAATAAAAGCAGTAACCGGAAGAAAATGTGTTTATGCTGTGTCACAGTTGTCTTAGTCACGTTCTTCTCAGTTGCTGGAACAGTACCCAGCACTCACAACTTAAAGAACTTTATTTTTGCTCACACTTTTAGTCCATAGACTACTGTCTCCAAGGTAGGAAGAAGTGGCAGAGGGGCACAGCAAAGGAAAACCACTCGTCCTGTCAGATTGGTCAGAGCAGAGATAGACGGGAGGGGATAATCCCTTCCTGGTCACACCCACATTGACTCTCACCAGACCACCCACCTAACAGTACATACCTACCTGCCCGATGATTTAGTCACCTCCCCCCAAACTACCCATGAGCCCAAAAGGCTCATAAAGGGGGACGTCTAGATATAAAGCATAACAAAGTTTAAAGCAGAAACATAAAAGTGACATAATCTATGTAAAAATGTAAATTAAAGATAGTTTTTGTAGTTGCACAAGTCCTTTGTTTCCAAGCAGCTGATACTTGATATCTTTCTCGCCAAGATCCTTTGGTAGGGGATGAGTCATTGGGTAGAAGGAATCAGTGTGGGGTGGTGTGAAAACTAAAAGAAGCAGTAGTAGAGGATGGTTTTCAGAGTAGAGACTCTAGCAGTGTTTCTGTGTATTTATGTAATCTCGTACACATTTGTTATCCAAAAGAAAACTTGTTTCTGTGTGTACTATAAAGTTTATGATACCCCAGGGTTCAAAGAGAAAAGGTATCGTATGAAATGTACACTTGCATATAAAAGTACATTTGGCTCTATTGTTAAAGGGATACATACATTAAACCTTTGATTTTTACATATTACATTTCCTACCAGAGAACACTTTAAGTAGCCAAAATAAAAATTTGATAAATAAATATTGTTTTTAAAACATTTCTCTAAGATCTGAAGTTTTGTCATTTGCCCAGTATCTCAGAAGTAATGCAGAAATGCTACTAATCCAGCAATTGTCAGTGTCACTAAGTGATGTGTCCACTGGGGTCAACATGGCCCTTACCATATTGAGCTTGCCACACTGTCGGACGAGGCTGGATACTGCATAGACTGTGATGACACAGGCAGCAAGAGAGAAGTATGTGTTGACAATGGCTCTGTATTGGTCGTCTCCGGGTTCAGCAATGGCTGAATTAAAGCTGGGCCAAAATATCCACAGAAAAAGAGTGCCTGCAAATATAAGGAGTATGTTAGTTCCCAATGTAAACAAGGCAGCTTGCTCTGGGTGCTGATGAAGTCTCTAACTTTAGACTTGATCATCTAAGGAGAAAACAATAGGATTGGGCGAAGTAATCTTCTAAGGTGGTTGCCTTTTGAGCATCTTTGTACCTCCATTGAAGTTAACTTTCCTCACTGCCTGACTGAAGAGACAAAAGTCAGGCAAGTTCATCTCCACTCACCAATCATTGCAAATAAGTCTGAGTGGTACACAGACTCTTCGTTCTTATGTCCCTGTCTCAGGCCAGATCGATACAAGATGCCTGCTACAGCCAAGCCAAAGTAGGCCCCAAAGGCATGGATCGTCATTGATGCCCCAATATCAGATGCCTGAAGAAAAAAAAGGACATACATGTAAATAGAGTGAAACTGAGTTAAAGAGGAAAATCAGTGAAAGAAGGACTTCACTGGTTATACAGTAAAAAGAAAAAAAAAAAAAAAAAGATCAAGAATCTGTCCAAAAAAAGTGGGGAGAAAAGATGCAAAAATAATTTATTCTCCAAAGTCTTGAAGCTTCAATGTCTCAGTTTTTCTGCAATTTTTTTTTCATTTTACTATATGATGTGAAAACGAACTGACTTCCAAGACTGCTTTGAAGAGACGTATTTTAGTCTCTTTAGGGCATAGTTGGTATTTAAGCCAGTATTCTTTATTTTCAGACGCTGTAGCAAAGTTCAGAGTGCCAAGCCTGTAGCCTCTCTATAATTTTTTAAGACAAGAAAATGATACAAATGCATTCATGTAAGATTTTCAAATTGGTTCAGGTTGAAGTGCCAAGAATATAGTGTTTGCTTTCCATCTTTGACTAGACAGTTAGATTCAATTCCCTGTAGATACTCACTTGATTGAAATGAGTTTAATGTGAATTTTTCCTCTTAGCTACTTGTGGAACTGCTAGGTATATTTCATGTCCAACTTAAATGTCACTTTTTGGAGAGCCCCCTTCTGGTTTCTAAAATTTAAATTAGTTACACTTTCTCACACCCATCCCCTAATTAATCTTTGTATTTTGGGGTGGGTGGGTATATGACTGTTAATTTGACTTTTCTGTCTCCCACTAGACTGTAATCTCTTTATAGAATGACCTTAACTATTTTGTGTCACTGAATCATCCACATCTAAAAAAATTGTTAAAAATGTTTGTTGTTTAATTTGTAACAGAAATATAAAAAATTCTGGAAAGTCTTATTTTAAGTATTTTTATACTAGGGGAAATGTGATATTTTCATGACGGGAAAGAAATTTGATATGGACATTCACAAAAACATTCTAGTATAAGTACCGTCTAAGTGAGTACTATAAAAACTTACATAAGGTTTTTTATAAGCATTTCACCTAGTAGTTGAAATATAAGTGGGAATTGATCATTGATAGGTGGTATAATAAAGAGTTGTGGAGTTTTAAAAAATGTGGATTTAAATTCAGACTCAGACAAGTCATTTAACATCTGTGACCATCAGGTTTATTGTGGATAAATGGTGACAACGGTATCTGCCTTATGTTGTTGTGAAGATGAAATGAGATGTTTATAAAACCTCTCTTTTATCATGTATAATAAGTGAGAATAAATAGATATCATAAATAAATGATGGCTATTACTAATCTGTCAAGGTTTCCCCTAAGTAGATTGGGCACTCATTATGTATTGTAGTCAGAATTGGTGCTCAGAGATAAAAAAGTACAAATTCTCACTCTTACCATAAATATCTCAGCAACAAGAAACTCATTGGCAGCAAAAACAGCAATTTCTAGAATTGTCATGAGCAGCATTTGGATAGGGCTTGTTTTTCCCAAGACAGCTCCGAAAGAAATTAGAACTGCAGCTGTACTAAAGTCTGCGTTGATCATTCTGAGGGCAAAGAAAGAACGTATCAAAGAATAAAGCATACCAAAGATAAACTGAGTTGGAGGGTTGAACTGTACAGCATCTCACCCACCAGGCTCCATCCCGTTCCTCCCAGTCCTATATCCTCTATTTTCTTCCTTCTCTTCTTGAGATCATATGTGATAGATTAGTTTTTCTAAACGAAAACCTCAGTATTGAGGTTTAATTGCAGTGTGAGCGCTTTGAGATAAGTAAGTGGGTTTGGGGTTGCAGTTCGGGTACTGTGTCTCTAAAAGGTTCACATTTACTGCTCTTGGAGGTCTCAGTTCTCTTTGTTTTTACCTGTACCTGAACTCACTTGAGGTCTTACTTAAATTTTGTTGAGCTGATAAATTAATTACTTCCACAAAAATAAAAACACGTTTACATTTTAAAAACAATCTGAAAAAAATAACTAATGGGGACATTTGCTCTTTATGGAAGATTTCTTGCACATTTAAAGTCAAACTGTCAAAGTCAGACATATGAATGGATGATCCAGTGCAGTAGAGCAAAGTTGTATTCTTAGATTTCAGAGAACTTCCATTGCTTATCAAGGGATTTGCCAGACAGCGCAGAGCCTGAGTAAAAAAAAATTAAGGGAAACAACTGACCTGAGACAAAGGACTGAAAGCGATTGTCTTAGTCTATTTTGGCTACAATAGCAAAATGCCATCAACTGAGTAGCTTATAAGCAACAGAAATTCATTTCTCATAATTCTTGAGGCAAAAAGTTCAAGATCAAGATACTGACAGATTTGATTTCTGGTAAGGCCTTGTTGTTTCATAGAAGGTGTCTTCCTGCTGGTCCTGAGTGTGGTCAGGTGAGGAGTCTCCCTTGAGCCTCTTTTATAAGGCTATTGTTATGGCTGATATGCAGATATCTTCCTAAAGCCTCACGTGACCGTAATTGGGAGGTAAGTGGGTTTCAGGGGCGTTATTGCTGACTGGCTGTTGGAAGGTGAGGCTCTGTGGGAGTGACATGGAAGAGTCTCTCCTGCCTCCGCACTTGGCTGTCTGATTCTGGATCACTGTGAGGTGAGCAGCTATTCCTCAGCCAGGTACCTGTGTTGTTCTGCCTTAGCACTATAAACTGACATGTGAACCAAGATACACTTCTGTAGTTGAGGGTGTTGGATGTTGTGTCTCAGCAGTGAGGAAAATAAGACAGGCACTAATTCCATTCCTGGGAGTCCTGCCCTCATGGCTTAGTCACCTCCTGAAGGCTTCACCTCCTAACATCATCACCTTAGCAGTTAAGATTTCATCATATACACTGGACAGAGAGCAGAAGGAACAAACGTGCAGACAAATCACAGAAATAAGCTTACTCTTTGATTCCAATGTGGAATTTCTGTCCACGAGTGTGAAGGAGCCCTCTTACAATAGTAGCCCACTGGAGGCCCAGAGCAGCGATGAGTAGGTTGATGCCCACACTGCTGAAGCCATATTTCTTCAGGAAGGTCATGAGAAAGCCAAAGCCAACAAATATCATCACATGTACATCTTGAAATACTGAAAAACAGCAGAGGGGAAAAGTGCACGAGGAGCACACAAAAATCATTAAGTTATAGTGCAAGGTGTGATAAAAATACAGTATGTGCTGAAATTTAAACATTTTTATTACAGTAAAGGACACGATACTAATCCTCAGTCTGCTCAAAATACTCATTCACTTCACAGAAACATGGTGTTATTCTTGTTAACTTTGTGAAGTAACTCTGGAAGTCCTATTATTGTGTCTTTAGTTCTTCCGTTGTGATTGCCTTGGTGCCCTAAATCTATGCAACATGTCTAAATTTCGTAGTCATTTATATTTGGGGAAACAGAAGTCCTTGATTCTATGAATGTGGTGGATGAGAACACACTGTAAAGCTTTCATGAGCCTACCTGACATGGAACGACAGTGGGTAGCAGCATTCACTGTATTTTTTAAATCATACTTTTATAAAGACATTCGCAAAAGACTTCTTCTGGTACTGCTTCAGAAGTGCTTCAGAAAGATGGGATGTGTTTTAAGTGAGGGGATGTATTTTGAGGGGGATTAATGGCAGTGTATCACTTATTGTAGTGAATTTTTAAAATTTCCTGTACTTTTCAATCATCCCTTACATATTCCATCTATTAAATGTTGCCACTTTTCTATAAAATACTGCAAGAAGAGACTATTAACTGGAAATAAATGATTGTCATGATTACTGTTTGCTCTGGTATTCCTGTCTTTTCATTCTTGTCAAAATTTGCATCCATTATGTGTGTGGTCAGAGCCTATGCCCAGATCTAGGTAACTGCAAATGTAGTGGCAACCAGACTACTTGCCAGCTATGAGAACATTAAAGTTAGTCATCATTTAAAATCTTTTCTTGGAAAACCATATATTATCATATGTGCTACTTCCATCCTTTGCTGAGGAATATTTTAAGATTTCCCATCCAAGGAAAGCTTTGCAGCATACAGTGTATCACTTTATTCTGACTTTCCCATATTTCAACAGAAAATTGTTTCTTTTTGTCATTTACAGAGTTTTGGGTGTAAACCCTAATTTTATCATTTGTTACATTGTATTAACATCTATTTGCATGCATCACACTGTAATTGTTAGTCAATGAAGAGTCCATCTCCTGTACCAGATTGAATTTTTGTTGGTAGTGCTGAGAATTAATCCCTGGATTTTGCACATGAAAGGCAAGTGCTCTACCACTGAGCTACATCATCAGTCTGAGTTTCTTGATCGAAGGGATTAGGACACATGCCTCTTTTCCTCTGATGTATGACAGTCTGAATGTAGAAGAAGCAAGTATATTTGATTCCATTTATCAAGTGTGTACAACCATACCAAATTTGGAAACTTAACCAACTTATTCTTTGAGCTAAGTGAGACAATGACTACAGTAGCACTTTACAGATGGAGCACTGAGCACACATACAGGCTGTGTGCCTGTATGTGGAGGAATAAATACTTGATTTGGTGTCTGAAGATCTGGGCTTAGGTTTCTTAATTCTAACACATGATTGTGTGACCTTGGGCGAGTCAAGTCACTTATTCTTCATGAAGTTCGGTGTTTAAGCTGCATCATTAACATGCCCTATTTCACACTGGGACTTGCATACAGTAAAGACAATACTTATTAAGCATGTGACCAACGGGATATAGTGGCATATGGCTGTAATCCCAGCACTGTGGGAGACTGACACACAATGGAAGAAGTTTGAACTCAACTAGGGTTCAACTTGAACAACTTAATGAGAATTTGTTTTGCAAAAACAAACAAGAAATGACACCTTCACTTATAAAACACATGTATACATGGAATAGTATTAACTGAGAAGTTGACAGTATATATATATATGTATATATATATATATATATATATATATATATATACTATATATATGTCACACACACACACACACACATATATATATATATATATATATATGACTGGGAATAAAGTTTAGTGCAAAGAACTTAGATCCAATCTCCAGTACCAAATAAACAAATTAACATATGCTCAAATGTAAGATAGTGAAAACATCCTACACTCAAGAAACCTACCTACAGGTTAGTTGGTGATACATGTATTTGAACGACTCATATGAAATTGACAGTTTTGCACTGGAATTATTAAAAGTGGTTGAGTATTTGCAGTTTCTTGTGGTTCAATTTGATCAATACACAAAAGAAATTGAGATCAAAATTTAAAAATAATGAGAGGAAATAAACTAGGTGCTGAATGAGTGCTAGCCATTGTGACCAGAAAGTTAGTGAAATAGGCACTAGGGAAAACATGATATGACACAGAAGAAGTCAGAGATCAGAGATCATTGGATTTTCACAAAGGGTAGAGGCAGGATTTGAATTCAGTTCTGATTTTGCTGATTATTCCATTCATTGAGCATGATAGTGCTACAAAGATAGTATAAGTGAACATGAAGGACAAAAGGAATCAAAAATCACACGTTTTGCCAATTGTAGTTAAAAACAGACCTCTGTGTGATGTATTTATAATCATCTTCTATATCTCAGATCAAAAGTGTTCCTATACAGCACAATGAAATCTCACACATAGTCACAAGATACAATTAACCAAGACATCCAGGCCATTTATTTTAAAAATAAATTAAGAGGTCACTTTACATTCCTAGTGGTCATGGCGGGTGGCCCACTGATATAAAAAGGAATAAAAGTATAACATTTAAAAATCTGCCCACATTGGGCTAAAACCTTAACTAGGGCATGATCTGGGGAAAATATAATCTCTGATGTATCCATTCATGAGTCCTGGTGCCATATAGACAAAGGGAAAATTTACCCAGACCTTCCACAAATAATTTGTGTCAAGATCTTTTCGCATCTCATTGACATTTGAAAGCACAAAAAGAGGATAATTTGGGCCAAAAAGGCAGAATATCCTAATAAAAATCATTTAATAATAATAAAAAAGCCATGTCCAATGCAACTACCGTTTTAGCTCCACACTGCTGTTTCCTGTAACGGAGACCTTTTGCTTTGCCCACTTTCATTTGTAACAAACTCTGCTTTTCCTCTTCCAGTGATTTCCTGTGTCTTGATTCAGGTCTTTCATCAAGAGCACGGGAACTGAGAATCTGTGCCCAGACTCTGATTCACAGGAGTGGTCATCACAGGACCAGCTGACGCTGGACAGTGCCAGCTTGGGAGTCTCCAAAGCCATCTGCTAGGCCTTCTCTCTGCTCCAAAGGTTTTCCCCTAGGCATTGATCTTTATGATACTTATCTTCATCCCATATTCATCTAGGAAAACCAAGAACCAGGATTTTACTCTTCTCTTTCCTTCTTTTGATACAAAGATTGAACCATGGCCCTTGTAGTTGCTTTTATGGGACAGTCTTGCTAGTCGCCCAGTCTGACAATTGGGATTTTCTTGCCTTGACAGTTTGAGTAGCTTTAGTAGTTCTGTCATGTCACCGACTAGGAGAAATCACAGTATTCTGTAGATTTTGTCTTTATCCTCATTTGATGAAAAGCACTCAGTACAGGAGAGCGAGAGGACTTCAAGTAGTAACTGTAAAACTTTCCTCCACCTTTTATTTAATGTTTGTTCCTACTTCTCACCACAAGGGGGAACAAAAACCTCATCTATTATTTAAGTGAAGACAGTCCAGAGTATGCAGGCTCTTGACAAATAATAAATATGTATGAAAAGTGGAAAACAATTAATATATACATTTTCTTTAGCATCCTGCTTTAAGAGTTTGCCAATGGGAACAGGGCAAAGCACCAAGTTTGGTTTTGTGCTCTGAGGCTTTACCATTAAAAGAACAGAGTATAAACCCTGTAGAAGAAAAAGAGATCTCTTTAGGGATTTGCACTTACGGGACGTTGTTAAGATGTTAAAAATTCTCGGTTTTAGAACTGGAGTGCCTTTGGCTGTATGTGGAGCTATTTTAACTGTTTTCAGCCTCAAGGAGAGGGCTGTGGCTGTTGAAGCTCTGTGGCCGGAGGCCGGGGCGCTGCTGAGCACCCCAGGAGCACAGGTGGCCTCGCAGCACTGTGGATCACAGTGCTACCTAACAGTGGCCCTGCTGAGAAACTCTCCTCAAAATTAAGTCGTGCTTTTATAAGCAGTCAGTGCTATCAAAGTTTTCTTTTCTTTTAAACATTTTGGACCCGAGGAGAAAAGGTTGACGATATATTCAAAACCTTCTGCCCGGTACCAAAGCGAATTTCACAGTTTTGAACCAAGAAGGCAGGAGAATGAAAGCAGGTGCCCGGTTGCTCCTTGCTCCTCTCAGCCATTCCATGTGCACCCCCAACCCCGTTTTCAGGAAAAGGAGCAACAGAAAGTGGAAACACTGAAAACAGTTAAATGTGGAGAAATCTCAAAGTATTAAAATCTTAAGGAATGTTTAGATTTCCCATGTTCCTGGCTGGGTTAAGACTGCTTCATATTTTAGGGATGCATCAGCGTCACATGAATTAACATCAGGTTAGCTCTGTGACAGCTAGCAGTTCATATTTCTCTTGAATGGTTCACAGCTTGTGTGCCCTCGGACAATCAATCATTCTTCCTAAGCTTCAGTTTCCTTGTTTGTAAAATGAGTCTTACTCTGTAAGTTCCTGTGAAGGCACGATATTGTTTTACTTACCTGTTCATGTCTCAATAGCTGGGATAGAGTACATGTCAGTACAGAAAGAGCACATAAAGGTCAGATGTACATGTAACACTAAGTAAGCTGTTGCTTGCAGTATTTGTATGCATTAGGATTAATTACATTCATGATCAATCCATAGGAAGGCAACACAATTTAATCATTGTTAAATAGTCAAACATGTTTCTTTGCCTTGGTAAAAAATGTTTTATTCATATATGCGTACATAATATTACTTTAAATTCGGGTTGGTTCAAAGCAACTGCTTTGAACTCTGAAGACTGTTCACAATAAAGACAAAGAAGATAATCTTGTTTTCACTGAGTTAACACATTCCACAAAGAATATATTCTTATTCTTTAAAAGCTGACTGGTGTTGCCAGAAGTGGTGGTGCACACTTGTAATGCCAGGTCTCGGGAGGCTGAGGGAGGAGAATCACTGACAGTTCAAGGCCAGCCTGGGTTACATAATGAGCTCAAGTCCAGCCTGAACTGCATAGTGAGACCTTGTCTTAAAAAACCAAAGCAAAAAAATAGTTGAATGGAAAAAAATAGTTTTTTAATAGTGATATTAAATGGAGAGCCAAAATATGTTTTGACAAGTCTGTTAAGGAAAATAGGTCCATAAATTTCAATCTGATAAACAATGTTGGTCAAATAAAATAATGGTAAAAATATAGAATTTCAAGGCAAACAGCAAGGCTTGGAATTCAGTGACTTTCTTTCTTTTACTAAACATTGGGCCTTGGTCAAATTGTTTAATCTATCTAAATGCCTACTTTCTTATAGGTGTTTACATGTACACTTCTTTACATGTACACTAAGCGTTGAGGATTAGATGTGAAATGAGTTAGTGCCTGGCACAAAGTAAACTTTGTTAAATTATTGTCCTTATCCTAATTTAAAATTTGCACAATTTTGCTTCTGCAAAAGGATTTAGATTTGAGGTTAGAAGGGAGAACCTGCCAGGATATAACGAGCATAATAATCATCAATATCATTGTCATGACTGTTTATCTATTATTGCCCCCGCCGCCTGTTTTTAGTACTCTCCCCCCGCTTGGTTTTTGTCTCAAATTCTGATGTAGGAGCTTGGACACTGGGATGTAGAAAATTCAATTTGTATTATGCAAGTTAAGGTCTTATGGTCTTAATATAATTTTATTTGAATATTAATCCTGGATCATATTTTTGTCATTTTATAACTGTATTACATCTCTTTGCTTCTGTGTACTAGGTAATAGAGTTTTATAGAGAAGGGATTATATTTATTTTATGGGAAAAATAAAAAAGTTTCATAATCATTTCCTTTTTCTTAATAACTCCATGTGGCATATGCCTGGTACTTAAAATTTTATTAGATGAATAAACTACCTAAAATGTGCAAAAACATGCAGAATTCAACATAATCTTACTCTGTTTTGTTTCTTTTTCACTTGATAATTACAAAGCGTATAACCCTTTTTGGAGTCTTCAGTCTTTGACTTAGAAGCTTAACTCCGCCCTTAACTTTCAATTTTATATTTTTGATAAGGTACTCTAGGTTGTAATTTCTACATGACAAAACTCACCATTATATTGTATTTTAAAAATGAAGAAGGAAAGAAGACACAAATATCAAATTGTTTTTTTTAATTTCAGACATATACTGTATACTGTAATGATTATTGTGACTATTTTAAATTTTTGGAGTATTGCAGCTTTATTTTTTAAAAAGTAATTACATAACAAAATAATATGATCTCCCTCTCTGGTCAATGAAGTAGGATGTCTTTTTCATAATAAGCACTCCATTCACTGTAGTATCATTATTGTATTATCTGTTTTGGAGCCTATCTTTCTTTCTGCTTTTACAGTATGCCAAATGCTCACAATTTTGTTTTCCTCACAGGAAAAAACTGTTGTTCTTTCAAAATGTGATAAAACCTGGAGTAGTTGAGCAATATTAAATTAAAATTTAAAATTAAAATTAAAACTCTAGTAACTTTCTACAGTGCTTAAATACAGCTTCCTGTACCTTAGGATCCCACGTGGGATCTAGGCCACCTTCATATCACTCAATTTTGTTTCCATTCTCTCTTCATTATGGTTCTTTTGGAGAGCAGGGGGCAAGCGTTAATATTTTTATTCCTTGGAGAACTTGTGATTAATTAAAGAAAAAAGGACCCTAAAGAGTAAGTATGAGATGCAAAAATAATACACTACTTTAATTTTCAACTTCTTGTCCTGATTCTTGAATCAACACAGAATCTATCGAAATGCCTTAACCAGAGAGAATGCCAGATGCATCAGCAGACATTTGTACAATTATGTAACTTAGCAGCATTCATAACTATGATATAATTCTACAAGTTTCTCAAAGCTTACTATGTTATAATATTCAAAGGTTTTTCCATTCCATGAACCCAAAAAGCCCAAAAGTGTTTTAAAAAAAGAAGTAAATTGCCTACTCACGGGGATACAGCCGAAGGAAGCTGTCCGTTTTTGGTGGCTGGGTGGCGGTCAGTTGCCGGGAAGTATTCTGAGCTACCTCATACTGAGCAAATAATCGAAATAAAACGATCATGGCAACCTCCAGGCCTATGGCCATAAGAGAGAATTTGAACCTCATGTTTGTGGCAAAGGACAGAGGCACACTGAAGACTTTAAGGCTGTGAAAATTTGATAAGCACACAGAGGAGCTATGTGTCTGAAATCAGGCTGCACGTTTAAGGCACTCAATGATGTCATGAGGAGAAACAGGCAAGAATGGTTGAAATGTCCCACCCACTGAAAAATTATGCTCTGTAATCTAATTGTAGTTTTGAAAGTTAGTTTGAAGAATATACAGTGTAGACTGAGACGAGCCAGATCTGTTGCACGATGTAGATTGGAGGATATCAAATGGTTCATTACACAAATATCTACAATCCTATGGAACTATATTCAGTAGGCCCTTCTTCAGTGCTTTTTATATAAACACCAGTAACTGGGCGAGGCTCTTCATGAGACACAGATCTAAACATACTTCAAGAAATTAGGACTTTAGTTGTGCACGCAGAAATAAAAGCAAATTATTCTGTAAAAACAAGTAATAAAGTGGTTATAAAAGTATGAGAAGACATAAATTATTATAGAGTGCAATTTTATTCTTAATGCATTTTGCTTTGGGCTAGCAACCACTGTCATGTGAGCTGATATTGATGTAAACTAAAAATGTGAAATATTTCCAGTAAAAGAGAGAAAAGAAACAGCATAAATCTTGGAAGAACATGACATGTTTAAGGAAACAATTAGTTAAAAAAAACTAACTAATGGAAAGAGGGAGTGGCTGGAAATAAAACTGTCTTGGAAGCTGGACTGGTTTGTGAATGGTCTTGCCTTCAATACTAAGGGTGTTAGATATTGAATATTACCCATTGACAATGGGCAACATGGAGCACTGTAAGAAGTATTTTGCCTATTTAGTATGTTTTCTTTCTTTGAAATGAATTGGTGTAATTTTTTTTATTGTAATTGTTAGCACATATTAATTGCACAATATAGGTTTAATTATGAGATTTTCATAGTGTGCTTTGATTGTGTAACTTCCCTCCTTACTCCTCTCCCTTGCCTTCTTTTCCTTTTCTTGAGTGTCTTGTGCTCTGTGTATCTCTGTGCATGTGTGTCTTTCTGATATGTTTTTCTACAGTACACCAAGACATCTAAATAATGTCTGAAATTTTATAAATATGTAACTCAGATACTTGGAAAATTACACACTGTAATAACATCTAAGCAATATTAGAAATCATTTCAAATTAATTTAGTAAGTGATAAAACATGTTAAAATAACCTAAGACCTACCACATGTATCTAGTATGTTGGTGATCAGGTAGCACACTGAGCACAGAAGATTCCTTTTTTAAATTTTTTCTTTTTGTAATTTTTATTTTAAAGAAAATAAAACCAAGCAAAATAAAACAGCATAAAGCCAATCAAAACAAAGCAGTGTAAGTGACAAGGACTTCAAAACAAAATAATAGGAAATCAACAATGGTTACCATAATGTCTCTTGTTGTCTTCAAAATAGCTGCCCATACCTTCAGACATAGTAAAAATCAAACAAAACAGAACAGAACAGAATCAATAAAAACAAAACTATGAATGGAGTAAAGGACTTCAAAACAAGATAATAGTAAATCCAAAATGGCTACCGTAATGTATCTTGTTAACTTTGAAATAGCTGCCCATGCTATTGGGTATAATAAAATCGAACAAGACAGAACAGAATAAAACCCAACCAAACAAAACAATGAAAATGATACAGGACTTCAAATCAGGATGATAGGGAATTAACAATGACTACCGCCCCTGTAGATGCTCCATTGCATATCGTTATTCTCTGAATATCTGATCAGACTACCAGCTTTAGGCCTGCAAAGTCAGTGAAACACTAAACACTACAAGCATTAATTTATATTTTACCTTAATAGCTATCACCACAGCCTGGGTTTCTCCAGATCAGCCGGTCACTTACAGGGGCTTGACTCTTGTCTCCCAGCTGGTGCACTGGGGAGAGCTGGTGTCTGGTTCTCCCCCCAGGAGCCTGAGCATGATGCCGACTTGCAGGGAGGCCTTGGCTTCTCCTTGGCTTCTTGTTCTCCTCCCTGAGAACCAAAGTTTTTATTGATACACTTGGTGAGGTTGTTGAAGGATTTGGGTTCAGTACGTTCACTTTGAGGAGTTCAGGTTGCCACTCTTCCAAATGTAGAACTTTGTATTGAAATAAGTTTCATCACATATGACTTGGGCAATGAACTGTTACTCTTTCTCAGGTTTTCACACACAATTTTCTCTCTAAGCAAAATACTCTTCTCATAGTTTCTCTCCTCCTACCCTGCACATACTTAGTTCTCTGATAAAATGTCACTTGCTTAGCAAAGTCTTCCTTGACCTATTTTTTAAAAAGTGGTTCTCACTATCCTCTCTGTATTAGTCAGCTTTCTGTCAGTATAATGATGTGCTCGACAAAATTATAAGAGAAAATGTTTACTTTGGCTCACAATTTTGAATGTTTTAGTCAAAGTTTGGGCACATCTATTGTTTTAGCCTCTGATGAAAGTGTCAGATGGCAAGGACAGGGAATATATGGTGAAGAAGGCTGCTTACCTTATGGGCCGAAAGGAAAAGGAAGAGGCTCAGAATTCCATAAATCACTTTATAACACACGCCAAGACTTAAGGACCTGGCCCCATCTCCTAAATATTTATTACGGCCCAATAATGCTACCTTGGGTTCAAAGCCTTCACTTAAAATGCCTTTGGGGCTGTTTAATGTCTTAACTGTTGCACTTTTTAAAATCATGGTCATTTTAGCACTTAGATGGCTATGTATGCTCTCTGTGTAATTTGGATAAATGGCTGTTTCTCTTACTGGCCTGATAGTTTTACAAAGCAGAAGCTGTTTCTGTTTTGTATGTCATTTGTTATCTGGAGTTAGTACCATGCCCTACACAATGTAAAATCAGTAAATACCACTTGAGTAGATCAAATTAAGGACAAACTTCAAGGAGAAAAAAATCAGAAGGCAGTCCAAAGGTATGAGGGAGGGAGATAGGTATAGCCTTCCCTTAACAAATTGTGTATTAATTTATAACTAACAGCTTAAACAATGTCTGATTTCTCCTTGTTCTAAGTGATAGTTTAATGATCAGGATCTCCATGTCTGGAACAAAGCTGAGGACTGAACTCAAACCAAGGACCTTGGAAGGACCAAAGATCTGAGAGGATGGACACATGCCAGCGTGACCCCAAGGATTCCAACAGCCCTTACAAAATCTCTCCAGACAGGGCTTGATGGAGTCAGGAGTCAGGTATGCTTAAGTTCAGGTAATTTACCTGCTGCCATGTCTGCTCTGAAAATACAGATTGGCTCCTTTTTTGTGCCTTTTAGAAAGGGAGGGTAACTGGAAAGAATCTTGAATGAGTAGTTGTGCTCTCATCTTAAAATAATCCTTGACTTAATGTGTCACTTTAGGAAAGTAACATTATATTTTATATCTATTATTGAATATATGTAAAGCATATCTAATGGTTTTTAGAACTTAGTAGCAAATAGTGATTGAGAACTATTACTTTGAGTTTCTCTCTCTCTCTCTTTCCTATGGGACAGCAAGATGCAGATTTAGGAAGACAAAAACAAAGGTTTTCAGGATTTTCCTGAAATTCCTGAAAATGCTGTGGCTACTGTATTAGGTCTTTATCCACCATTTTTAGTCTCATTGAAATATGATATGTTTTTATATTTTACAAATATAACCTTCTCTACTATTCAAATGTATAGGTAATCACCCAGCTGCCATACTGGTATGAATTCCAGTGACTAGATAGATGTACAGATGTAGACTGAGAATAGATGAGAAATGTATCATTAAAGATCTAGCAAGATAACAAATGTCTAGGGAAGTTTTTTGGAAAAATTTGGAACTCTGTGTAAGAACCATAAATTATAAAAATGAAGGCATGTGAAAGCATGCTATTTAAATAATAAATTCATCAGCATGGCTGTACTACATTGAGTTAGAATCATGCCAAATTTAAAAATTTTTATTTTGAATCATTTTAGATTCATAGATGAGTTGCAAAGATATCAGAGAAATTCTTCTTATCACCTGTCATCAATTTCCTCTGTTAACCTTTCACATGACCATAGTATAATTATAAAAAAAGGAAAAAAACCAGAATATGCTAGTACTGATGCAATATTATCATCTAAACTGTAGACTCTTGCTAATACCTTTTCTTGGCTGTAAAGTAGAATCCATGATGCCATGTTGTACTTGGTCCACATAATGTTTTATTCTCACTTTCTGACAGTTCTCTAGTCTCTTGATGTCTTTGAGATTCCCCAGATCTTCAAGCTTTGTAAGATATTCTAGAACGTTCCTCAATTGGGGTTTGTCTGATATTTTCTCACAATTACACTAGATTATGGGTCTTTGTGGTTTAAATACTGTCTGGGTTGAGTGCTCTTCTACCATCATACTAGGTGGTACATAGTATAATTACAGTCTCTCACTATTGATTTTTACCTTAACTACCTGGTTAATGTAAAGAAGAGCTTTAATTAAAAAATTCTCTCTTCACAACCTTGCCAAGAACAGATTATGTGTCAAGCACGTACCCCCATATTCTCTAATAATAAAATGACCCTGGTAGCCGCTACACAAAAGTAAAGAACAAAGGACAACCTAGAGAAGGAGAAGATGAGGGAGAAGGAGGGGCGGCCTCTGGATTTCAGCGAGATCCCGCCTGATTGCTGGCCTACCGGCTGATCACAAGGGGGTACATGGTTTAAGTAAAAGGAAAGTCACAGAGGCTGGGCACCGCCTTGAGCAAGCTGCCTTTCAAAGATAAGGCTGGAACTGAAGCCTTTACTTAGGTTTCCTTCTGGAGCATGATCTCTTTCCCCATCACACCTTATCATTATGCCTCAGCTTGCTGAGCCTTAGGCAGCTGTGTGTCTTCCAAGCAAGCATTTGGTAGCATTTTTAACATCCATTGGCACCTAGTATCTGTCAGCCTCTTTATATATGCCAGCCATAATCCTTTAAACAGTCCAGCAAGGTAGTTGTTGGCTTATGATCATTTTAAAAATGGGAAAACATTAACAATCAGTTGTTGAAGTCTAACACCAGTTTGAAAACATCAATACTTAAATTAAAATGCA